GTCTTCAAGTAACTTAAAGAAGTCCAGACGCTTTTCTTTGCAAGCTCCTTTGACTACGATGACCTGGATGACTGAGAACCTTCACAGACATAAGTTAAATGGATATTGATGGGCTTTCTTTAAATCTACCACTATTTAGTATGATAGAGTGGTTCACTTTTTCTCCTACACTATTTGCCCATTAATTTTAATTGCAAGCTGAGATTTTACTTAGTGATTTGAATTATTTGGAAAAATCTGTCACATCAGCACAGTTTCACTGTGCACTGCCACTTAAGACATCAGTGACTCTTTTTCTGAAAATATTAACCTCAGCCCCCAGACGCTTGCCATTATGAAGCTATGCTGTGGTTTAGTTTCTAGAGCCTCCTCTGGTCAGAGCCTCCCACATTTATGATATTTCTATATTGACTGACAGATTTGTGTTTTAAGTTTGTTTTTTTTATGGTTCCTCAGATATGGTTGACTTCAGAAAGACACTAAAAAAACGGTGAGCTTTTTTATAGCTTGTGAACAATTCTTACTTTTTGTATTCTTTATAGCTGTGAATTCTAACTTAATGCTGCTTGTCAATACAGTAATCCAGATGGAACACGTGAGCCTAAGCCAATGGAGACAGAGGAGAAGGTCTGGGAAATTCTGCTCAGTGCAGACAAGAAAGACTATGAGCGTATCTGTGCTGAGTATGGTATCACAAACTTCCGTGGCATGCTAAAGAAACTTAATGAAATGAAAAAAGAACGAGAAGAGGAGGTCGCAGAGGTACAGAACTCTGGCATTGTTTTATTCAATCAAAAGCCTCTCCAACAAAACTGCTTTTATTCAGAGAGGCCTATTTTGTTTTCTTTAAATTTGCTGCATTGTATACTGTCGCTTGACTATTATTATAATTTTTGATATATCTCTGCCATAGTTTGTCACACATATCACCAGTTTAAAGCCTATTGAGGTCAAAGATGATGATTATGCAACAATTGAGTTGGATATGGACCTCAAGGATCCTAGCAGTAAAATGTACCTGTACAAGGTAAGAAATTAACTGCTCATTACGTTTTGTCTTGCTTCTTTCTTTTTAAATGTATTAGCAAAATGTTAATACATCTTTAAATTCTGCAGGATGGTGTCATGGTTCCATTTTCCAAAGATGAGGCTGATGAGCAGAAACATAGTTTGAAACAAGTTGGCAAAAAATACATATTCAAAATCAAAAAACTAGGAGCAGAAGATGCTGGACTCTACTCAGTGGATGTTGAGGGTGTCAATGTGTTCTCCACTGATTTTAAAGGTCTGTCTTTAATCCAGGTATTAAGATTAGATAAGGTTTAGGTCTATTCAGCTTCTTTTATTGTTACTTAATTATCTTATAATTGTTAACCATAAATCGTGTTTTCCATTTGATTCAAATGTACTTACAGCTTAAATTAATGTAACTCATTAAGTTCGGGCAGCTCTGATGAAAGAGTTCTTGAACATGTTTAGCAGTTTAGATAATGGATTGAGTGCTGTTAAATACGTTTTTCTCTGATTCTTTTGTGTCTTTTTAAAACCATTCAGTAACTCCAGTCGAATTTGCTGTCAAAATACAAGAAGTCACGGCAGAAGAACGAGAGGACGCCCTCTTTCAATGTGTCCTAACTGCACCCATGAACGAGATCAAATGGTATGGCAAAAGTGCTCTGCTGTCAAATAGTGAAAAACATGAAATTACTATATCTGAGGATAAGCTCATCCACAAATTGATTGTGCGGGACTGCATGCCTTTGGATGCCGGTATCTATGCTGCTGTGGCAGGAATAAAATCTTGCAACGCTTGGCTTATAGTTGAAGGTGAGAATTATGTACACACACACACAC